AGAGATAAGAAAAACACTGACTTTGTGTGATGCTCCGGCACCATCAAGCAGATCAATGAACCACAGCTGCTTACACAGCTTTGAAAACACATCCAGTGTTTCCCTCGCCTTAATGTTCCAGTCCATGGCTATTTGTCAGTTTTAGCATCTTGCAAATGGATTTCCCTGATGGAGGAAGGGTTACTGAGCAATACCTTTTGAAGACAGAATTCCTTTACTACAGAAGAAGCCAGTGAGGTTCTGGAAAATCATCCGTACTTGCCCTCTTCCTCTGCCCACGTGCTCCTTTATATTTCTGCACAAAGTCCTCATAGCACAGAGCACTCTGACTGCATTAGGAGCTCCATCCCCAGAGTGCTTTGCTGAGGTCAGGCATATCCTGGCAGGCATCAGCATTACCCTGGCATAATCCCTAAAACAGAGTTTCTTTAGTATCAAGAGCAGGATAAACAACTAAATATTGACTTTAAGAGGGGGAAAAAAAAATCCATCAACATCAGGGACCAGCACTTATGACTGGCTCACAGTGAGCTCAACCCAAACCCAAGGGTAAGGTTCTGAGATCGTGTGTCATGCTACTGGAGCAAAATAGTGCTTATAGGAACTGTATAAATGCTGATATGAAAGAGTATAAAAATAGATGACACTGTAGTTGCAATAAAACACATTAGTTATTTATGCATTCAGTACAAGCCCTACACAGGCAATGGAAGCTTGGAGGAGCAGGGGTAGAAATTATAGGGTAAGCACATCTTAGAAGAGTCCACGCAAGTAATTGACTGAGATTTGGCAGTGTGACTCTCCCCAGATTCCAGAATCAATACCTCATTGCAATAAGAGGTTCTCACCTTCTGGAGATATTGCTTGAGGCTAACAAGTGCCTGTATTAGTTAACACTAAAGCCACAGCTTCCAAGCACTTCAAATGGGCATACACCAGCTCATTTTAGTGGCTATGTCACTCTCCTTCCTTCCCCCCCCAAGTCTCTTTGCCTCCTTCTTGCCTCCCCCCACCACTCCTTCCTTTAGCTTCCTCATGCTGTTACGTTTTGAATTTCACCCAGAAAAAGATCTTGTTAAATAAGGGATTAATTTCATGTATTTTTAATCAAAAAGGGGAAGAACTGTCACAGGAACAATCTGCTGGGGTTAGAACGGACAAGGAAAGTCAAGACTGCTTCTTTTGGGAGCTCACAACCTAAAAGTGTTTGTGATGCCAGGATGTTATAACATGGTCAAGAGTCCTAGCTCACAGGCTTGAGAGCTAATACTCTGCACAAAAATTTTACACCGCATGCCCATGTGTACTGAGTAAACAACAATACCAGTTGAGGCCCTTACTGGCTCCAGCTGACTGCTAGGCTCCTTTGTCTTTCCATGACAGAAGTGAACATATGCCTGCATCTCAGCAATTCCACTTCCTCCTAATATAAATGCACCATCCCTGTGAGGCTGATGCCAAAAGAGAGGAAGAACAAACAGCTTGAAGGAGTACAGTCCTAAGCCACTGCTGCAAGATTCACTGCAGCTTTCCAGCTAGAGCCTTAAACTTACAGATCTGAAGTGAAAAGTAGACTCTACACAGGGCATAAACCTATGGTTAGGGGATACAGTAACCAATGCCTTTATCACCACAGAGCAGGAAAAAAATGTGAACTTCTATAGGAATATAAGCAAAGAAGCCAAAAACACTGTTTTAAGAGACAACACCTAGAGAAGTTTTGTCTACGTCCACTTTAAAATTGAGAGCCATCGTTATAGTAAAAAGAAATTACGTAGGAAAAAAAATCCTGTTTGTTATCCCGGCTCTTTTAAACAGCCTCATCTTTCTGATGAGAGGCTCCCTCCTCCCCCTTAGCAACTGTATTTCTCACCCTGTCTGGAATCTCCTGGCATACATAGTATTTCGCATTTCAGGATGCCTTCCTGTCACCCAGACATGCAAGTTTAGCACCAGAACAAAATAAATAAAAAGTAGCCAGCTATTGACTTAACTCTTAATGCTTGAAACAAAACTAAGTATGGAAAAAAAAAAAACCCCACCAGTAGTCATTCGGGTATTGAACTGCTTCTCTAGAACAAGTACACTGTAAATGAGACTGGGCAGCAGCCCAGGTTTGGCTGCTCCAACCCCATCAACTAAGCTTATGAGGCAACTCGTTTACCTTCAGGACTCAGACATATTCAGTAGTCCGGAACATGGACACTGTTGACTTTGCTAATAAGATTATTACCCTTATGTCTGCATTACTCAGCCATTTAACGCAAGTCAGCTATTCAAGATGTCAAAAGTAAACTAGAAGATGCTGATTAGAAGTGTATGAAATTACACTATTCTGGCACATACAATGCTTTCTTGAAGATTATACAGGATATTCTACACAACCATTCAGAATAAACATAGCCATAAAAGCTTATAACAGGCAACTGTTGTCTCATATTTATTATTTGCATGCACACCGTGCACCTCACAGCAGACTGGCACTGCACAGACTATACTCCCTTTAGCAAACACAGCCAATGACTGTTCACCTTTCAACACTGAAGATTTTTACAACACAGACTTCATATGACGATAAATAAATACCCTGAATAATCAATATTGTGCCCAGCACAAAGGGTATCTGTAAAACATATGGTAGTTACAGTTTATAAAAATTCCTCCTCGTGGAACCACATTGGTTTCATAACTGTAAAGTTCTAGATGCATATTCAGATGTAACACTAGACAGTGTAGCAAAGTAGTAGTTGGTAAATATCTATTTATCAGTCAAATTAATATCTGGTAACGGGTGGGCAGAATAAATAAAGCCTTAGCCAGAGGTAAATATTAAAGCAGCTTAGGAGAGATTTCTAACAGAATGGTAAATGTAATTGTCATTCCAACAGTTCCGATTTTTGCTCATTTCAACTACACAGCGCAGGAAACGTTTAAGCTTCAGTGTTCGATCAATAAACCTCCTTGATTCTTCATAAGGTTCCTCCATCTTTTTCCATAGTTGCATTCACCTCCTTTGTAAAATAAACTAATTAAATAACATTCTTCTCTGAACTTGAGCTACCCAAGTTTATACAGGGCAAGGATGTTTTCGTTACCACACCCATTTTTTTAACCTCTGAATGCCTTTCGTTGAAGGGCTGTTGTTACAACGGCATAGGAAGAGATTTGCTAAAGCTGATTTTATCTGCAATACTAACAACCAAAAACTAAAGCGTTCATCCTGACAACTGACACAACACCTGTTCTTTGTGAGGTGCTGCAAAACTTTAAAAAATAACTTCTGCATTATAGAGGGACCAAGAAGGGGAACAACAAAATAAAACCTAATTTCTGAGAATTAAGCATTTCCTTCTGGCTGGTGCTAGAAGATTTAAAAAAAAAAAAAAAAAAAGAAGCTGAGGCCATTGCAAAACCATTACAGCAAGGCAGTTACTATCCAAATATCTAATACAACGTGATATGTGTTTTAATATTCACAGTAAGCCTCAGCACACAGGACACATTAGTATTATTACTCAAAAATGACTGCAGATAATGCAGAGAAGACTTTAATGTTTCCCCTTTCAAGGATGCATTTTCTATATTCTTACACTGTACTTACCCCTAGAGTATTGTGAATATACTCTACTAATGCACTAAGCCACAGTGCCTTATGACTCCACACATGCTGGTTGTTTCACCTTCTTGCCATAAAAAGCACATGCAGGAAAGTACCTCTGCTAGCTTAGATCTTCGTTAGACACCCATTGCTTTGCCTGGAAGTTGAAGAATTAAAGGTCAAATAAACATGCCTTGTACTCAGTGCAAGCAGAAAGATATGTTACGGTTCTTACTTGCGGAGGAGTTTATTCATTGCAGACTGAACATGTCTCCCACACAGGAGAACGTAACCTTTCCAGTGTTCCATTTCACAGACTTGAATAATGCGTTTCATCATCCTTAGGCATAAACTTCTCCTCTTCATGACATTCAGACTCCAGCAAAGTTACAGAGAAGATTTGCAACAGTATGAAATAATTATTTCCAGTTTTATGTTCAACTTCTGCAGAGAACAGTTCTGGGATATATTAAAAGTCATTTGGTTTCATCAAATCATTTCCATTTCACCTCAAATCTACAGTCTACATGTATCATAGAAGCTGACAGCCAACAGGAGAAAGTAAATTCCATGAGTCTTAAGCCTGATTACCTATGTTTAAACTCCTTCTATAGAAAGATGTGAAGAATGCAGAAATAATCTTTTAGTAAACCAAGCAATTTCACTTGAATGCAAAGGGCTAGTCTACTAGAGTTTAGTTACCTAACAGGTACACTTTCTTCCAGGAATTCTCGTGCTGCATGCTCTGAACTAATATATACACTAATCAAAACATACCCACACGGGGTTTGAAGACGCTGATTTCATCTCTGTACAAGTTCCTCGCAACCACATAAATGATCGTCCAATTACTAAGAAAAGAGGATATATCAGAAGAATAAGTCTTACACAAAGCATTTCAGCTTTATGCTCAAACTTCTCATCCCCCACAAAACTGGCATTCAAATTTTCATGACCATAAAGCAATCTACATGTACCTACGTAAATTCCGACATTTTAATTAAACAGAAGTCAAACATCTTTGAAGAGAACAAACAGCTGGCAAAGACGGCCAAGACTACATTCATTCCAAATTTAAGTATTAATGAGGTCGCTTCTGTAGCAGCAACTCGATTCCACAAATTTCAGTTGTTACAGCAAGCAAAAAATCATAACCTATTTTTTAAATTTTGATCAAAGGTATCAAACATCTGGGAACGTTTGTCTTAAAGTGAATAATATAGCAGATACAGCATCTTCAAGTAATGTATTAAAATATTTCTGGTTAATGGAAAACTGTATGGATAGAAAGCGTTTTAACGGACGGATGAAGGATTCCGAGTTTCTCTTTCAGCAATAAAGGATACTGCACAAAACAAGGCAATATATTTTTTTGAGCAGTATAACGTTACAAGATAAACCACACAACCCTGAATTTGAAATAGTCAGGTTTTTTTTTCCACAATGAGACTTGCAACTCAGCTTTATAAAGCATGCCTTAAGCTTCCATACAAAATGATTATGGGTTAACATGACAAAACAGGAAACTGGGATTTAACTATGAAGCTCTATTTGATTGATGCTACTACACCACAAGCTTCAAGACTTTGTATGTTAAACTGTTGAAGCTATCACACCTTCTTTCCAAGACAGAGTGAGTACTTTCAGAGGATAAAACTTATTGCGTATAGCCTTTTATTTTTTACACATAAGTGGATGAAAATCAAGGCACTCAGCGTGGTTACGTATGAGCAAGAAATTCACATTACTGAGAATTAAAAATTCAAGTCACAAAGCGAGATTATCAGCAAACGTCCATCTGGGGATAGGGTGAAGTTTCATTCTGTTACAGCTTTGGCTTGAACTCGCCAGAAAGAAGCTTTTTAAGCATTTCAGAATTTCTTCCCTCTGGTAGTGGGGGCCATTTGTCGTGATCTGAGGAGAACAAATAAAACAACGTACTTAGTTATCTAAAAAGTAGACATTTTGTTGTTGTACCCTCCCATTGCCCAGCTTTAATCATTTCAAGGGCACTATTCTGTAGTCCATTTTTACCTGGTATTTCTAGGTTACTGCTATATAAACTTTGGCCACCATCCACAACCATCGTTATTCCAGTTATGTAAGAAGCAGCTGGAGACAGCAGGAAACACACTGCAGGAGAGATCTAACAGAGAATGACAATTTTAATTATTCTTAAATTGCTGGGAATCATTTGTGTCCAAGACACAGCTTGTTAGAGCTCATTTGGCAAGAGAAACCAACATTTTCTACTCAGCAATGAAAGTCATTATCAATCTTAACGCTTAAGTTTCTAGCCACAGACATCAAGTACATAACAGCTGAAAAACAGCAAGCTTGCATAGAGCAGCATCAGATGCCTAAAACCAAGCAAATATTTAAGTTGACCAGTTTATCAAAGGCATACGTTCTTGACAGAAGAGAGCTAAATGCTCTGAAGTTACACTTTTTTCACATCAATCTTCAATATTTTCCCATCTTCCCTGCAACAGGTCAACCTCTTCAGGAACTATGGCAACTATGGAACACTACAGCTGTAGGAGGCATCTAAATTAAATTTTCAATTTTACAGTAGCTACTGGTTAAGCCTCCCAGCTGGCATTACTACATATTACTGCAAGCTTTCCTTTTTAATACTCCATCACGGTTCAAAATTAAGTCTTTATTGTTCTCCATATACTAAAGTAGCTTTGAAACACAAACACAAGTAGAAATAAATAATCACAAATGTTCTGAAGTACATTACCTCCTCAGGAACTGCTGACCTCTTGGCAGGAACCTTTGGGATGTTCTTTAACCACATTATCGCACCTTGCTCTCCATAGTTTGCAACAGCAGTTTCTGAAAATACTATTCCCTGTATTAAAACAGAACACAGTGAAAACAAATTATCTTGCATACATTCAAACTCTGAACATTGTACAACTGTAAAGTTATTATTAGTGGGATTTTTTTGTGGGATTAAACTGTCTAAACAGCACTTGAATGCACGTTTTTACATTGGATTATTTCTAAAAGAAGGTAACTTGACTGCTAGCCACATCTCTATTCTAGCAGTTATTCAGATTATTCAAAGTCCTGATTTGCTTTCATTATCCAAATTCTCCACTGTCACTTCAACAACTATGAGGTGGTGAATATAGAAAAGAAACTCAGAGACTATTCTAGAATTACAAGCATTGCAAAACAGTTTACAGCAGAAAACTACAAAACCAAGGACAAAGTTCTCACCAGTTTCTTGTAATCTGCAAGAACACCAGATCAATTTTACTGGAAGTTATGGTAGCAGACAGACTATGCAGCTGGATTTCAGATTCTGCCTACTTAGCTGCTACAGAAATAGAGAAAAGAGACTGTCCTTGCCCTGATGATTATACAGTCCAGCTTAGATTCAAGAGGGACGATGAAGGCTACAGAAATAGGAAGACAGAGTTACATAGATTAGTTACATCATAACCTGCAGGACTTGAGGTGGTGGGTCCCTTTAAACACCTAACAACATTTTAGTTCATCCTTGGAGTCCATGTTAATATTTTTCTTCTAAGACACCTGTGAAATGTGAGCAAATGTGTTTCGAGAGCTAAGGAAGTAACTCATTTTTTAAACACTTTTTTCTTAGAATGTATGTTTCCCTCCCTACACACATGTTCCCTCCAAGTTATTCCGTGCATATTTGGCAGTAAGTGTTTTGTATGGTTACTGCAACCCTGACAGGGCTATAAAGGTGAAAGAAAAATATACGTGTCACCCTCGCTGGAATATGAATATTTGGTCACCAACACAGTAACAAAGCTATCAAATATTTCTTACAAAACATATGAATTCATGAATCATGCACCAATGAGAGTAGCACAAGTACTAGCAAGATGACACATACTAACTGCTGTACAAGTGCTGAAAGAGCCAAACCACTGAAGTGTTTGCTTGTCGGAAATTTCATTTGACACATGCTATAAAGTATAATTAGTATGATTCATTAGGTAATTAGTACGCCTTAAAAAAATATGCACACATAATGTGCTTTCCTAATTACTTATTTCACCAAGACCTGATACATTGGAAAAAATGAACAAACACAAAAACAAGTCAGTAGACCTTAATATCTAACAGGTCTCAAGATGAGCTGGGCCTCAGAGAGCCTACACAGAGCCGCTGACTGAACATCACCATGTTTCCAATTAAAGCAAAGCAGTTGTTTTAGGATGGGATGCACAACAGGATACACCATTCTGTACAGACAGTAGGAAGACAGGGACTAGTTAATCAAATCTGAAATTTATCATACTATAAGGTAAGATAAATTCTGAATGTAGAAATAACTGGACAACTTTCCTTTCCCATTTTGTTGTCAATAAACACGCAAAATAAGTTGTGGGTAAGAGTGAAGATTACACAAATCGCAACAGACGCAATCTCAAACTTCAAAGCTAGGGCTAAAACCTCTGTATCTGCAGCACTATGTACTATGAAAATATAGCAGGCCTTCCATAAGATTATTTAAGACAATCGGTACATGCTACCTACTTCCTCAGAAATGTGGCAAGCATATTTTAGCTACCTCTATAGTCATTTCCTGTCTACATATACTCAATAAGAAAAAAGCAGAACGCGCATTTTTACAATTCATCTCTTTGAGAGAGGGTCCGTTCCAAACACGTTCCTTTAATGTCTAAAAACTAACCTAGCTTGTCATGTAGAAGGTGAAGGTAAAAGACGTTATGTGACACATTCAGAGATTCTCAGAGTATCTGTAAACACAGCTGGAAACTGCCAGGATACTTGATCGTCATATAGAGAAAGTTTTGTAAACCCAGAAATAATCAGTTCTGAAACATAAAAAACTGTGTAATTTTATGGCACGCTCTTGTAAAATGGGTCACTCCTCCCAGATGTCCTTTAGTTAAGCTAGCAAAGTCAACCAGAGTGCCGAGTCAAAACAGAAAGCAGAAATGACTTTATCCCAAATCCCTTGCTTGTCATCCGAACAGTACAAAACATTCTCAAAGGACCTGACGGACATGGATGAGGGAATTAAAAAAGCAAAACCCATGAACTACTACAGGCTCTACAGATTTTTAAATGCCTTTTGGTCTGGACATTTTAACCATGAGCATGTATGGCAGCTAAGTTTACTCAGATCATTTGCCATTACTTACAGGAGCAACACTGTTGATTCTTACTCCACTGTGGGCCCATTCTAACGCTAAAGTCTTCGTGAGGTTATTCACTGCAGCTCTTGCAGCTCCTGTATGCCTATTAAGAAAATAAAGCAAAAGAAGCATCTGTTCCCTCAGATACTACTACCCAATCTCCATTCTACTGCAGCTTCACTAGGATAGTCAGAGCAGTGCTCTACTCCTAGACCAACTGCCAGACATGCAGAGGGGTTTTCTAGTTCACAAGCTTGACCACAGCTTCACAGTTTACCTGAATTATGCTAATATTTTCTGTCATTTCTGCAAATACCTATCATCTCTTCCCCAATCACTTCCCCATGCTTCCCCATCACATACTTGGTGATGACGTGAGGCCTGCTACGTTTTAGTGCAGAAGCAGGCTAACAGAATGAAAAACAATTGGAGATAAACTTGCAAGTGTGCAACACTACAAAAGGTAGGCTGCACTGGTAAGGCAAACCTTGTAAGGTCAGTAGTCTCAAAGATACAAAGTAGTCTCTTACAAGGCAAACCTTGTAAGGTCAGTAGTCTCAAAGACTATCTGACAAATGTGATTAAAATCAGCCAATGTTCAAAAATTGCTATAGGTGGGGAAACATGAGCACAGGCATACTAATCTCATACACCTTGCTGATACAGAAAACCTGTCTAAACGAATACAAGCTTGAACAAACGCAGATGAAATTACTGCAAAGGTGAATAGCAGACAGTGGGACTGAGAGAAGACTAACTTTAGCTTCTTCAGCCTAGCAAAACAAACTTAGAGGAGATGCAGTAAGTTCTCAGACATGATGATATACATACCAGGAAAGAAGAGCTTTTTTGATTGAGGAATAAGAAAAACTAGGTAAGTCCTGACTTTTCATATGTTTAGGCCAGAAATTAATGACCTCCTGGCACAGCACGAGCAAACAAACTTGAGTAGCTTTCAGCTGACAATTATTATTTATGAAAGGTTGTAGGAGGCAAGTTTTGGCATGAACAGTGGTTGGACTTGTAAAAGGAAACCTTCCTCTATACTACACTTCTGAAAAAAAGCACCGTTTCAACAGGAATTCAATCTGAAAGTAGTTTTGTCTACCCATCCACAAAAGCATAGAATAGTTATTAGGGAAAACTTATTTCCATTGTTATTCAGAATTAGGTTATTTCTTGGTGTATCAACCTATTCACAGTGACGGGTCAATCAGATTTACCCAGAGCAGTGAAACTAAAACGACTGTAGCTTCAGCACCACCCTGTGGATTTCCAAGTTTATTCTGCACTGCCAAGAACAAGCTAGTGAGAAAATATCCTGTTGTTTCTTAAAAATTTGAGATTTTGAAAACTTTCAACCCAAATCAGGACAAGGAGAGGAAAGAGAACGTTTGTTCAGATTTAATTTTCATACTTTCTTCATCAGAAATTAAAAATAAAAAAAAAAAAGCTTCAAAGAAAAACTCAGAATTTTCCAGTTAAGAAACGGTCAAAATGCAGCATTTTAACAACTTCTAAGTTTCCTCATGCAAAGGAAATAACGGAAACTAACCATTTTCTGAATATTATTTCTCTTTCAACCCATTGAAAGTTTTCCACCAAAAAGTGCCAAATCAAAGACTCCTGATCACCGCTATTTTGAGAGTGAAGACATTTAAACAAATATAGTATACCTATGGAGAGGCTGCTGCATTTGTATGCAGATAGCCTTGACTGTTTTTCCCAGAAAAAAAGAACTACAAACATACGGTAGTATGTTCATACCCATGAGTCTTCCCCCAGTCAAGGAAGGGGCAGAGCAAACAGAACTGATTCTCTGCATCACAGAAAAAAGATTATCTGCATCTAGAAAAGGTAGCCACAAAGCGAGGGTAGAAAGCAAAGTCGAAAAGGCAGGCATTATGTGAAGTGAAGGGCAAAGCCATAACCCGGGAGCATGTTAGGAATGTTCCTCCTATACCCCCCCCCCCATCCAAGTCCCATAACTCATTACACACCATCAAGACCTGTAACTTAACAGTAGAAGAACAGAGCAACAGGTGCCAAGTTCCTGCAAACCCTCCAGAGATTTGGAGAGAAAACAGGAAAAAGTCACACTTGAGCACAAAGAGTTCCCACTCACATCCCGTTTCCAGCGAAAGCTTCACTGCAAAAGTCTTGCTTCATAATTTCTTACAAACTAGCTGGCAGAGACCAGAGATTTCATTTACTCTTGCAGTCTCCACTGAAACAGTTAGAGAACCCCACCCATAGAACCAAGTGATACTATTGCTCTTAACATATCTACTATATTTCTATAGTATAGCTGTGCCCAATGCACAGCTTTCTAGAAGAAAATGAGGTATTTAGGAGCAATTAGAACTATTTAGGGGGAAAATATAGGCAAATGTAACAAGAATATTACGACATTCCAGGAAAGCCATTTCTCACAGCAGCAGTAATGTTGACAATGACTCCTCCATGTTTCTGCATCCAGGCATTGTACACTGTATGAAGGAGGAAGATAACCTATAAATATTAGAAGAAATATATACAAATGAAATTGCTAATTGGCAGCCAAATTTGGAGTCTAATTCCAATTGTGCTACAAGTTGCCTGTGCAGATTTGGACAAACAACCTGCTCTTTGCACCACAGCCTCACCACTGGACTGGTGAGAAAGCTCAGTGCTTGTTTAAAAAAAAAAAAAAAACCTAAAACAGCCTTTTGACAGAAATCAAGATCTTTTGCCTTCCATGTAAGCTGCTTTCATTTCCATTTCCCTAATACTATCTGAGAATTACGTATCAAGCATAAATTTAACTCTATATCCTTGATGTAAAAGAAGTCTTCTCCTGTGTTACACACAGAGAATACAAGACAGAGAAGTTAGGTGGTTTTCTTATCACTCTTTCAGTCAACATCCAAACCAACTGACTCCCCAAACCTGGCCAGTGGAGGTCATTCCTCCACTGAATGTGTACATTGGGGTACATGTAAGGTTGTGCATATTAACAAATGTAATGTACAGTTTAATATGTAGCTTAGGGCGAAATTTGTGAAAACAGATATCCACTGTCAGATAAGAATGTGAAAAAAGGAGGATACAAGAAATGTAAAAAAAAACCTGCATAATGTTTAGTCCTCACCTGCTTTGCAGCAATAGAAGGTTCCTGTCAGATTAGTGTCTATCACAGCGTTCCAGCCTTTTGCACGGATGGCTTCAGTAGGACTCATGAACTGGCCTCCTCCGTTGTTCACCAGGAAGTCAATCTTCCCATGCAGATTCAGCGTAGACTTCACCAAAGCTTCTACCTAAAACGATATTTATTTCTTTTTAAGAGTGGGATGCTGAATAAGTTATGTACCCAATTTCATTCAAGGATGATGTTTTCTCACTCATATCCTTTTCACATATAAAGAGGAAGTACCAATCTTCAGAGAGGCTGGTCAGCAGTCTCCTAGGCTAGAAGCCCAGTATGACAGGTTTAGCCAACCAGGAAGGATTGGGCTGAATCCATGCTTTGTAAATCTTCCTGGTGCAATGCAGGTGCTATACAAAACATCAGCACTGAGATGAGAGAGGGATCTATGCTTTTGAAGCTGGGGTTGCGGGGGGGAAGCATGCTATTTAAGAACAACTAAAAATCTCCTGGCATTTTCCACAAGAGCAGGGTTGCTCTCATGAAATGCTAGAAGAGCTCCATATTAGAGACTGTTTTTTTCATCCAGCCCACATTCCTGAGTGTTTTGAATTGAGACTATTTTAATTTCTTCCTTATTTTCCAACAGCATAAAGTGCGATAGCCACTGTTAAAAATGGCTGTTGTGTTTCAGTATAAAAGAAAAATAATCTTGTAAAAATTTAACTTTCTTATCTAGAAGCTTTGTACATTCATTGAAGGTCTGACACACGAGTTAGCAAGAGCCAATCTTCTCATGCAGAGCAAGAAAGTTAGATTATAATCTGACAGAACAGGAACTCTGAAATAAAAGTCCTAGCAAGGCTATCAAGTAGTCTTCGTTAGCAAAAGAAAGATGACTGATTACACAGATACCTTCTGTCTGTTAGCAGGAGGAATATTGATGATTAAGAGCACTGTTTGGCACTATATACCTTTGGGTACTCTGAGAAAGTATCAAGAGCAAATAGCAAGACATTTTGCTCACTCACTCGAAGAGCTGCAGCACAGAAGAGGAGTGGCTTAAGGTCACATGGGAGGAAAAATATTTGAGAATCTAAACCTAGCACTAACACAGACCTAATCTAAGCTACAGGTTGTCAGCTAAACCTTTTGCACTGTCTCGAGTTTCAGAAGAACAGCAGTTTCTCCGCACTTTTACACTAAGAACATGAGAGAACTTCTGAAGGGAATGTGTTCCAAAGCATTCAAAGATTTTACAGATAGCAAAGCTGGTGTATTTTTCCCTACTAAAAGGTAATAATGAGACACCTTTAGAGCAACCACTTAATAATTTAATCTTTATCTCAAGAAACAGGGGAAGTGGGACACCGTAACTGTTTCTGCATCTGCATTAGCTATCGTAACTGGATACCATGGATCAGTTATTCCTAGCCAAGCAGATGTAAAGAGTTAATCTCGCACCTGCGGTAAAACAAAACACAGACAAAAAAAATCAACCAGGGCAATGTTGCTGCTGAAACAGATTTGACTGGTGGAAGAACACCACTTAGCCTTCCTCTGTATTGGGTTAGCAATGTAAACCATCAGAAATAAAAGAACAAGCAATGAATGATCTGTATCTTACCAAGAGTGTCACTGACTCAGTCTCATAAATAGCTGTCTTGCAGCTTTTGATGCTAACAAACAGGTCAGAATGTTTTAATGGGATAGGGTGAATCCTATAAGGATGCCCCCCTCTGGAGAGGAGAATCTAAACAAACTAGTATAGCAACCAAAGTCCGATTGAAAGACTAAAAAAAATACACTATAAAATAATTTTAATATCTATATCACCATCTTTAAATTCTGACTGGCATCTCACTCCTTGCACCAGTCACTGCAGGCTGTGGGATCGGAAAAAAAAGCATCTGTGGCAGCAGTCCCCAACCCTTGCCATAAGACTTCCAGCTTTGCTCTCAACTAGAGAAAGGTAAGCTGATCTCATGTTAGGTAGCAAAAATGATACTTTGCTCAGCAGTATTAAACTTCTTTCTCCTTGTCAACTTGCTAATCTTGCTTTGAGTATTGTTGTCCACACGGCAGTGAAATATGCACTCATCTAGAGAAGAAAAATGGCTTCTGTACAAGGAATGATTGAACAGACTAGGACTCTTCAGGCTGGAAAAAAAAAGAAACAAGGGGAAACGCTAAGAATCTACTAAAACAAAACAAAAAAGAGGACACACACACAGATCTGTGGAACCACTTGCCACAGGACAACGCAAATGCTAGAAGTTTACCTGAGTGGAAAAAAACAACGAAAAAGGACAAATTAACAGAAAAAAAAATCCACTGAGAAGAGACATTAGAAGCAAGTTTTAATCAAGTGCACAGAACCTGCTATCATCTGTTATTTCAAAATGGTTCCCATGTCGTATGAACCTCTGCTCTTTTTCCTACTTGCCTCACCACATTGTCAGAGCAATTAAAAATACACCTATCAGTTCTGTTTTCTGAAAGACAGCAAAGATTGGTAGGGTCTCTATCCTCTAGATATCTAGCTCAGATAGGTCCAGCTGCAGCAATCTTCAAGACAACCCTCTCTGTTGCAGAGAAAGCATCACTGCAGTGCTTCTCCTGATTACAGTAAACATGGTGACAGAGCCACCAGCACAGTGAGAACAAGGGACTGGCAGAACACATTTAAATCATAGTGAAGAACTAAAGGTTTCTTAATGTTCCTAAAGATTCAAAATCCACACAGAAAGAATAGCAAGAAGTCCCAGCTACTGAAGGGTGTCCCTAGGAGCAAAGCAAGCTGTAAAAGGTTTAGCTAACAGTTTAGGACACAATTTTGACAAAGATTGCAAAGAACAAAATCAAACAGTTCAGACGCATAACCAGAAGACTGGAACTCTTCAGTATGGACCTCTTCTGGGTAACTGCAATTCAAAAATACTATGCAGCAGCCACTTCTGCAGATAACGTTAAGAAACTGAGATGAGAGTATTCATACCAAGAGAATAGGGGCAGATGTCCAGGTAAGTTCAAGGTGACCGATGAATGCTAGTAAAACTCAAAAGGCAAGCTACCCAGTACAAAGCGCTACGAGATTTGCCATTTGGGGACCAGAACTGTCATTCCTGTACAGTGATATCAGGTGTTTTTACTTTGTGCTATTTCTGTATTATTTTAAAATAAGACTACAGGAATCTCTTATCCACAGTGCTCCATCAAGCCATTCTCGTCCACTACAGGTTTCACACAGACAGGCATTACATATTTATACACCAACAGAGACTATGTTAAGCTATAAAGCTTACTAGAAAAGAAAGGCCACTAGTGAACTCGGAGACAAGTCAAATGCCAAGTGTCACTGTATTGAATACTTCTCAAGGAATCTTGTTGGTCAGATGTCCAAATGGTAGCTTTTAGCCTCAGGATCTGGTCCAGCAGTGACTGTTACTGGAGCTGAAGTACAGAAAAGGAACACCGTACAGAGAATTCTGACTAACGCGTTTGATTTCAAGACGAGCAGTAGCCTACTAGAAGACAAGGCTTTATATTTCACTCATGTAGATACAAGTTAAGGAAACGTTTGTCCAGGGCATATAGCACAAAGGCTATATGAAGGTAAAAAGTTCCTTGAACCTTTCTTTTCCCCGTTGGAAGGTTTCTGCAGCTCAACATTTAAGACACACATACATGCTCCCCCTTCCCAACACCCAAAGAGACAAGGAAAAAGCTCTTTCCATAACGTGAAAAGGATGTGGTCTCTCTCCTCCACTCTGGTAGTCTCTACAGTGATGCACCAGAATTAACTTATTTGATCCTTGGATTTGGGGAGAAAGCTTCGTTTGACAGGAGCTGCATACATACATTTTGTCTGCCTCTCAGCAGTAACAACCTGACCTGCTCTTCTTGTAACCAACATGTTACGCGTGATAGTGCCAGCAGGAACAACCTGACCTGCTCTTCTTGTAACCAACATGTTACGCGTGATAGTGCGGGAAAATATTCAAATAACCAAAATCTCTACAGCTTTGTAATCACTCAGAAGCATACAGATCACTATATTCACTCCAGAACACAGGATAAGGCAGAGGTGCACAACCACTGCTTCAGACGAGGCCCCGTGAAGACAGAACACCGCAATTTCAGGTGCTCTTTGCAGATCAGGATTCCAGAACTCTATATTCTTCCATCTTTAAAAATGAAACAGATTTACTATCCTTTACAAAACACTCATTGGGAAACTAGCCAAAACAAGAAGCAGCAGACTGTTTTGACAGAAATAAGCCTGACAGGTTATGCAGTGGTTGAAAATCCTCTGTCAGGCAAGTAGGATTATTTCTTGCACATTAAACGAAAAGAAAGCTTTGCCATAAAGCAAGAGTGCCTCTGAGGATAAAGATTAAGAGACTTTAAAATGTGAATTCATTAAGCTATTTCCATGTTATCTACCAGGAAGCTTCTGCAGCAATTCATTCCGTACACCTTTTTTGACTCTTTGTAGGCCAGAAAGAACTCAAACAGCCACATATGCACTGTCTGAAGGGAGATGTATCTTCTAATGCTTCAATTTCGCAGATCCAACTAGTGCATACAAGAGGAAAGAGCTGTGTCATCTTCAAAGCACTTTAAGATTTGGAATAGGACACAAAAAGTCTTCTGACGATTCTGAAAGCACTTTCGTCTCTCTTAGATTCTCTCTATTCAAAGTCCCTTCCTCCAATCTGTCCAATTATAAAATTAAAACCAGGACGACATTCTTAAGAGCCTTTAGAGAAATGAAGAACAGGTGACGGAGATGGAGGGAAGAGGAAAAAAATAAAGGCATGCCATAGTGAGAACAGGTGGCTTGTTCCTACGGGTGATTAGGCTGGCTTTATTTAATAGGAAGATTTACTCTTCCAAAGGTATAAATGAGATGTCAGAGAGGATACACTAAGTAAATCTGTAAGCATCTTCCTGGGCTTTGTTATCTTGGGATCAATCAGTTTGGACATCTAAGGAGGCTTCGTAAACTCTCAAGTTTTTCCATTGCTGACATTCATAAGGTCTTCCCCCTCCCCGCCCATTCTTTGGTACCCAGTACAGGCTCTGAAAAAGAGGATGTAATGAAAACTCACAGGGAACACTTGTAGCGTATGAGTTCTCTGTACCCAACAATGTACTATCATGAACTTCTGAGGTAACTACTCCTCAGTCATACTGAGTTGAAATCAGCCCCTGAGTTTAAAAGTCATTAATGAGAGGCATACAGAACTAATGCAGTTGTACAAGTTGTTTTCTTCGGGGGGAAGAAAACTGAAAAAAAAAAAAAAGCTAAAATTTCCACAGGGTTTATATGGGCCTTTCTCCCATCTTTAGCTGTAATAGGAAGCTATTCCTATATTTGCAAAAATGATCAGGTGAGCTACATTGCTGTCCTGCCTCTACTCAAGATTTACTCCCAAGGCTAGGAAAATCCGTTACTACACCTTCTACCGATCTCTGTTCCTAAGACTCCAAGTCTCGGCCACTAAATTTTAGGTTAAGAATGGAATAGGTTTTGAAAGTAGATGAACCCATGCTTTGAATAGAAGTAAAAGCCCAAAGGTACTTTCCTTCTAGTCCCTGTGAGACAGGGGCAAATTAGAAACAATTAGTACTTCCCATTACTGCTCTCAGCAAATATTATAAATAAGCAATAGTGAGCACTGGGTTGTGGAAAATCCACCACATTCCTCAGTTCTAAGTTGTGACAGTTTTTAGCAGTGAAGGTCATCAACTGTTAATTTAAGTTTATTTAGCTTCAACTTCCAAACATTGAGCAACTAAGCGTTAGGAAGCATTACCTTCATTACAAATTTAAAAGCTGAAAATCACATCCACGTATTTCTGGTCAAACAGTAATTTTAGAAAGTAAGCATCAAGAATTTAGCAATCCTTGAGAACCTCAGTATTAAAGAGCAAATGGACAAGGATGGAGCCAGAAAAACAAGAGTTAAAGAACAAAGATCACAGGTTGCATCTAACCAATAATGATATCTGCTCTTGGAGAAGGTTATCTGGAATGGACAACAGCCCTCTACCATCTCACAGAACGCTGCAGTTCCCACTAACTCATTTTTAGATGAATGCAAAAATAGGATTCCCCTACAGAAGGTTATTAAGCATGCCAGAGCACTCTGTGCAAGAACACTAGCATGAAAGAAGGCTTAAGCTTCTTCTGCCTCTTCTCCTTTTTCTTTCATCTATCTTTAATCACTTAAGTTGCCCTCTGACATCTGTCATAACCTATTACATTGCACTGCTGATGCTAGTAAATGCAATCCTAAAATTCACTGGTGGGTGAAGTGACACAGACCCAGCGTTCATCTCTTTCAAGAGAGAAAGTCTAAGGACATCGTTATAAATATGTTATGGCATGAGCTGTTCTATGAGGGAAGAATTTTATTTTTATTTGCTTTATGGTAGTAAATTAAGATAGGATCTGAATTTACATAGTTCCTGAAGGTCCCTAATGCTCCTTTAAGTTATGCTAGATTTTAACAGAGTATTTGAAAGGTTAAGAAAAAGGCAGCAACCAATGAGCAACTGAATGTTTTCTGGTCGTCTTGAGTAAGTAAAAAGTCCAACCTGACACTGCATTTTTAACTGCTTAATTAAACAGTTAAACAAGATGATGAATGCAGGCTTCTGAAGAATGAAGATCAAGTACTTCTGCTCTTGATTTTCTAGTTTTTTGTAATTTAGGGAAGGAAAGGAAGTCTCAGCTGAGGCGCAGAGACCTCTCTCAATAAGGTGGAGTTCTTACTGAGGACGGAGAGCAACAGTCTTGCACACCTCAAGTTGTAACCAACAGTTAAAACAGGGCTAAAAAAAAAAACCCTCTATTTTTTTCTTTAATAGAAACAAAATTGACAATGCAGGATACATCTCAATAAGTAACTTAAATTGCGTCAAGTAGTAACGGTGAGACTCCATGCCATGTTTTCCTGTTTGAAGAAACTAGTTCTGGAGGTCTCCATCACCACAAGTTACCACCCTCTCATTACAGTCAAGATATGTAACACGGAACCATACGTAGGGCTCAGGCTCAGCCCTAGAACATACCAGTTCTGAGTACTACTTCTCCTAGTAATAGCTGCAAATACTTTTATGACCACCCATACCTACTTCAACGATAAATACTTTCTTGCTTAGGCGGCTAAGAATGGCTTTCCCCTTGAAAGTATATCTTAACCTTACCTAGATCCATTGAAAAGTGCTCCCCTGCACCTGTCTCCTGATAAAGCCAGACCTCTGGAGATCTGAGAATTTGTATACACTATGCATTTTTGATGTGTGAAGCCCCAGAACAAGATCACTCGTGTTTACCTCCTCTTCCTTCCGGATGTTGCACTGTATAGGAGTCACTTTGGCAGGACTCATGGAAGAAAATTTATTATTCAGCTCTTCTGCGGTGGCTTTTAATCGGTCAAATTTACGAGAGGCAATAATAACACTGCAACCTGTTGAAATAAAATGAAAAATCCTTTAGCTAATGGATATTCAAAATTACAGTTACACTAGGTTTTTAATAACATCACGGAGAAATCTTGTGAGATGGGTGTTTATTAGTCAGTGCCTAGAAGATATATTGATAAAGTGCTTGCAAGAGAGAGAAATTACTTATGTCAGGAGCTTCTTAGCAGCAAGATCCCTCTGTGCCAGGAGAAGAGCAATTGAAAAAATGTCCACGAGGTTCCTTCTCCTTCATGCAGAAGGGAAAATAGCCTGTGAGTTGCAGAGTCAGCCAAGTAGCTTTCAGACACTGTTTTTGCTGCCTCTGCCCAAGGCTGCCTCATTTATCAATTATGTGATTTAAAGATGTTTCATCAGGTTTTGATTACAAAAAAACACTTGCTCCTCAAATCACAAAAATAAACTCACTGTAACTCAGGCTGGAACTTTTAGACTAGTGGTGAGCAAATGTAACGTTTCCCTCTTTAACCCTACATAGTTTGAAGGAGGGGTTCACAGCCTCAGAAGATGAACTCGTATATCTGAACGCAGACAGCAAGAACAGAAACTTCCCCAGGCTTCAGAGCACGGGGAGCAGAGATCTCCACATACTTCAAAGTCCTAGCTCAGAAAGGAGAGGAAAAAACTAAACACGAGCTCAGTTCTTCTGTCTCTTTCAGTATTTGGGGCACAAGGACTCATTCTACAGAGAATGATGATGCAAGCACAAAATTAATGGCAGGCATTCACACCAGACTACCTTCTTCTGTCACCAAAGAACTCAGGACAGCTTTAAGCCTTCAACAATTGCTACTTCATAGACTAAAACACACCACATCAGATTAATTAATCCACTAGACATGCCATTTCATACTACGGATGTGCAAATTAGTAGCTTCTCACTGCCAAGCAGGGAGGGAGATCTTGCTTATCCTTCCTCCTTTCATAATCTTAGCATCTCAGCATAAGCCATTCCTTCCTCATACCAGCTCTGTCCTCATCTGCTTAAACATAAACCAATTCAGCACACTAGACCAGCTAAAAAAAAAGTTAACTTTTTGCCAGGTGTTTTTTTCCTGTTGCTATTTGACTAGGTGGAATTTGGCCTCCCATGTGATCAAACACGAGAACCAACTCAAAATAACTAGTGAGAGTAAGGAGGAGTGACAAGCTGCTCATTTAGCTCAGGCTATCTTGTGAAACTATACCTAAAACTACAAAGAGGAGCTAAGTGTCTTCCAGAAGGAAATACTGCAGCTACATATCCCTAGGAATGGGTGCTTCATCTTCAGTCAGTGACCATTTTAAAATAGCACACGTACAGATGTTAGCTGAGGTCTCTCGACTTTTTGAGCTAAGAATTCTAGTCATTTACACAGCAACCTGACTAACCTGGAGTATGGTTCAGACAACAGTACACACAATCACTGATTAACAGGAAATACTAATTCACAGTAGCATAGTAATATTCATCAGCTTAAGTGCCTAGTAGTACACACACTGATAGAGAAAAAGGCCAGTAAAAGACTGTATTTCCACTAAATACTCTAATTTGGAAGGTGGGAGATTCTAGCTCGCTGCGGCAGTCTTGCTACCTACTGTACAAACTGATGCTTACTTTAATAAAGTTCCTACTTTTCTTGCAAAGGACAGACTGGCTAGGAAAGTGAACAATTTTCACAACTGGCATTATCTGGGGCTGCTCCTAAAGGTGTTCCAGCCAGATCCCCCTCTAAAAATATGCCGCCTGAAGTGCAAGGTTTATATGGAAACAGTTGCAGGCTGTCTTGCTGCTGGGAGTAGCCAGAAAGTCTGCAGGTGAGACATCTACTTTATAGGAGGTTACATCACAAAGACTTAAGATATAGCCCCTTTCTTCATTTTCTTACATGTCTTTTGTAGGGATCTGTAGGTGTGCTTCCTATTTCGGATGTTATGAAAAAACTTTTCTCTTATTTGTATTTCACTTGAGCAAAATAACGCAGCTCAAATTAAGTGCAATTTTAACACAAGGGTAACCTCCACCAAAAGTGCGACGACACTTGAAAAGCACCTTTTTAAGGTGCAAGGACACCTTAAAAAATGCTTAGTTCCCCAGCCACCCAAAGGTAGCAGAGCTAGCCCTTGTTTCAGCTTCACAGAGCAACCGGAAAGCTGGTGCAACAAAGGCCGGGAGGCAGACATGCCTCCCAGCACGCAGTACTAACAAAGCAAGCCCTCCACTATGCAGTGGACTAGTGAGACGGGCATTTAAACAGGGCAAATTGCAGGGAGCATGACACAGTGGGGCATAAGCCTGGGCACCGATATTTTGAAGACAGCGCTCCATGACTATAAACATTATTTGAAATCAGTCAGATGTCAGTGACCCTGAAACCTGAAGAAAAGGTGATGCAAGGTAGATTGGTCAGAGGTTGCTGAGACTGCCTTTCGCTCCGGAGTTAAAGACTGATTAAAGATAAGTGACTAATGACGAAAGTCCACAAGGTACGCCAGGCTAAAGGAGTACTTCAAGACATTTCTGTCACAAGCATCAATAGACAAGCACCATTTCTTTAAGTTTAACAAGCAGGCAACAGTTCAAAAGCAGAAGCAACAGGACAGTTTCAGTTTAACAATACAAGAAAAGTATGCACTGAAGTGAGATGAGAAATAATTTAAGACTGAGTATGAGAAAAACTGTCCGCATTTAATAGATCCTCGCTCTGAATGCTCTATTTGAAGTAGGGTATCCCCCAGCAGCACACCCTGCCCTGGCCCCCAGGGCCCCCTTAACTCAGTTCCCCACAGTCTCCCCACACCCTGATACCTACTCCCCAATTCACCCCACACCTGCCTTGCCCCCCGCCCCCACATTTACCCCACACCATGCCCTG